GGGCCGTGGGTGTGTTAGAGAGAAGAGTAATAGAGAGATAAAGAGATTGAAAGAGATAGGAATAGGACAAGTCTTGGAAAGTTTATGGGATTAAGAATTCAGTGAATTAAAAATGATTATAATAAAAGAAACTGGTTGAATATAATAATATTGGGATTAAAACCGAACTAAACTAAGCAAGCATATCTCAAATCAAAAGTGCATATATTGAATGAATAAAATAAGACCATCTTTGATTTCCATGTATGATTGAATTGTTATCCTATAAATAAACCTTGTGAATGGTGACAGCTGTGATTCCTTATTACAATTTGGTAGATTGTGGAAAATCCTCTGGTGGCAGCATATAAAAGGATGAAAACTGGCAGTAGCACCCAAAGGCAATTCTGGGAGTTAAGAAAAACAGAAGAGCTGGAGGGTTGCTACATAAAGTGGTGACCAGCGGCGGGATTTGAATACAGTCCAGTAAGGCCAAAGAAAAGAGTAAAGTCCTGAGTCAAAGATACCTATTAGTCAAGGAGGTCTGTTGTGGATGGAGTGGGGAAACTCTCTAGAGCTTCTGGGAAAAGCTTAGTAGAGGGGCTCCTAAATGCAGATCAGGGACTAAGATAGGGAAAAACTCTGAGGGAAAAATTTCTGTTAGAGGTTTACCTCAAGATTTGAAAGACCAGTGGGCTAGCTTTGGATCCTAGGTTCTAAGAAGGGAGAACTGAAGGGGACAAAAGCGGAAGCCAGGGTCAGACACAGATCTGAGGGAACTTGAACAGGCAGAGGCTTGTAAAACAGGAAAATAAAAGTAATCTGAAATAGTTTGGTGTCTGGAGGCAAAAAGATAGAATGTCTCAGAACAAAGAACAGCGTGGCTAGGTGCCTAAAGAAACAGAGTAGCAATCCATGGCTGCCAAAGGAGAGCTACAGAGTAACTCAAGAACTCAGGAAGGAAAAAGGTCTGTAGTCTTTAAAAGTGAGGCTTGACTTTGCTTGACTATATCTCTCTGCAGAATAAACCCAC